CCCGGTCCAGGGGTAGGCCACGAGTCTCGGGCAAGCAGAAATGAACAAACGCCACACTGATGACACATGACCCGATGTACGTGTACATAACGTACTTGTTAAAGCTCAACAGAGCGTTGGAATCAAAAAACGTATATGCCACCAGGAAACAAGGTGAACTGGCCACCGGCGTATATCAAACTCGAAAACCATTTCTGTGTAACACATTTACAATGACATTGGATATTATATAATATGATAATATGCTATATTTTATGTTGTTAAACTACGAAATATTTAATATTTTGCTGCGTGATTAGTATTATTATTTTTTAATTTGGGAAAAAAATCTAACCTGCAACATTGAAATTATAAAATAAACAGTTGAAAACGATTATTACAAAAAATATTCATATGAAGTTTAAGTAAAATTCGATATACACGAAGTAATTTATTATATATTATAGTATAGTTAATAGTTATAGGTCGATCTCACAGACGCCACGTCGATCGGACCGCTCTTAAAAATTAGTCGGGCTAAACTCCCCCTTTGTCCCCCCCCTTACCAACCAAATTATGTACTTGAAGATGTTATTATTATTGTATACATTATAATAATACTGTACGGTGACGATAACTGTGAGACAGTCTCACATAGGCGCAATTTGGGCTAAATTTATGGGGGTGCTAGATTTATGTGGACCAAAGTAACCCGTGGGGGGCTTCGCCCCCCCACCCCCTCATAACACCATTCATGCATTCATAATACTACCTGATTAATCAATAATTATTAATATTGAAAAATAAATATATAATACAGGTAAATACGTTTTTTATTTTCATTTGAATATTATAATAAAGATATATGCCTTTGAGACATAGCAAAATTATTTATTATTTCATTTAATAAATATCAAAACTTACTTCTTGGTGTTTATCATTATCATTTTTTGACTTTTTTTCAAAATTGAAAATACTAAAAATATTTTTAGTATTTTCCAGAATAAAATTTAAAAACAATAACAACTTGAGTAGGTAATTAAAATAAAATTAAATATAATTTAAATTAAATTAAATATAGGAAGTTAATGAGGATAAACAATAAAACACGTTACATGTACGTCGCACAGTCGCACAGACTTAACGATTCGAAAAATACGAGTGAAATATTATTATTATTATATAAGTCAAATCTTAGAAATTAATTTATCCTGTTGTCTATGACATAATACGTGTATAACCAATAACAATTAAATGATGCTGTTGAAAATTTGGGGGTGCTAATATGAATTTTTGGGGGTGCTCAGCGCCCCCCAAATTGCGCCTATGCAGTCTCATCATGACTAAATAAACAGGCATGATCACCAAAAAACCTATTTTTCCTATCACTGCGCATTTTCCCCAGACTTGGCAGAAACAGTAAAATTCCTATGTAATTGTAATGGGAATACAATTTTTTTCATGAGTTTTCTATGATATTAGTTTTTCTTCCAAGTCTGGGGAAGTATAAAATATGCGTGAAATAATCTAGTGATCATGCCTGTTTATTTAGTCATGAGTCTCATGACGACGAGCCACAAAAAGTGCAAATGTATAGACGCTGTATTCGTTTGTCATCCAGTCCAGCCGAATTCTTACATTATTTTTTACGTTGATTTATTATACAATTCGAAAACTCGACGCTATTTGATAATAATTTCTTAGACACTCACGTCGAAATAAACCACTTCCGCGTAGATCAGCGTCCCGACCGGTCCCCATCCAATTGAGTACGACCACAGATACATGCACACGAGTATGATGTGCACGTATTTGTGCCACTCGTTCGATTCGATTGGAGAACTGCATATGTCTGTGATTGGATGGATTGAGTGGTATACCATCAGCGTCGCCAGACACGTGCCCATACTGATGGCCGACGCAATTAACATGAATTTGCGGCCCAAAAACTCTACCAGCTCGACCGTGGTGAAACACAGCAGGACCTGCGGGAAACCCGGAGAACGCGTTATTGTTACCGACTAATTTTCTCTAATGAGAACCTTTCATATTTGGAGTGGGTTTATCGTCAATCAAGATGTATTTGAAAACACGTTTTTGTCAATTTTACTACGCATTGAAAGGGACAATTAAGACACACTACTTACCTAGCATGTTTCGGAAATGATTTAGTAATAAACATACTGTCAAACAAGTAACTTAAAAAATATATTTTAAATAAAGATCGTATTTTATTTTCATACGAGGAAATTTAGTTCAAGACATTATTAATCTTACAGATATTCTGGATCAGTGATTCAAGTATAGATATGGAATAGCGCAGTAAAGTGATTCAATTCCCACAAAAACAGGCAAAACTTAATAACACAACTTAATTAACTTGTTGGCCCATGGGACGGCTGATAAATGTATAGAAAAAAAATAGTTACCCCCGGCGTGATTGTCGTCACGTTAATGTTTTTATAACAGTTTTACGTTCCTACCCAGCTATATAATTTATGTAAATATGTAATTTTTTTTTTCCAAAACCGCTCACTTGGACCGCGAACACTATCGGAATGATTTTTTGCGTGTCGCCGTACACGCGTTCGTCGCTGTAGTCAGCGATTTCTGTGGTCAAACCGAATCCGCCGATCACCGATTTGGCGTGAAACATCGTCGCACTCGCGCCGCAAGTCTGCTGCAGCACCACGAGTCTCGCTCCTATGTCGACGATCCTCCGTGTCAGGCGGCTTCTGTTGTCACCGATCATGCACTCGAACTCGAACACGTATCTCTGGTTTTTGGGGGGAAAAATAACGAATTTATATAATATAATCGATATCGTCTCGTCCCAATTTTGAAAACGTTTCGACCTACCTCGAGCGCCATGTAGTCTTCGTCTACGCAGTAGTCTTCGCCTTTGACTCGACGCATAGCCGTTTTCGCGTGTTCGGAGTCGCCGTGGCATTTGTACACGTACAACGGCGACTCGGGCATGAAGACCGAGATGAGGATGTGCAGGGCCGGCCACACCATGCACACGCCTGTCAGCTGGGCGTTCGTGACGATGGCGCTGAACGCGTGTGCGTAGAACACGCCGAAACACACGAACGCGTAGTGGAACACCAGTACCCGACCTAGGTCACGCACAACACAATTGCGGTGTATAACACTGGGTATAATATTATTATATACACACGACACACTACGTATAACTACGTTGAATTCCGAGACGCCTATTATATATAATGGCGCATTTATTCAGACTATAGTATATTTTGTTTTGGGCCGGATGCGGAGAGGCGATGTCTAAAAAAATCCCCTAAGCTATAAGTTTTTCCATGATATAAATCATTACCTGTGCTTACGCGGGCAGCGTGTAAAATATAATAATACATTATGCTGTATTCTATTAGTACCAATTACATTTCTGGACATGTCTTAATAATATTATGCACTATTGTGGAATTTAACGTCAAGCTATAATCTCACGACCAAACCCGATGCGTAATTTCGGCAAAAGTTCTCACCCCGGATGCGGAAGTCGGCGATGTGGGCGATGTACGTGGGTATGAGAAACCCCAGGCCTCCGGTGCCGAGGCCGTGCGTGAGCCGGATGGCCCAGACGGGCACCAAGTTCACCTGCGACAACAGCAGCCAGCCGATCGACGAACACGACCATGTCGCAACCAATTACCGACCATCGGTAACCGATATTCCTCGTCACCGGACCCAGGATCAGGCCACCGAACGTGGTCCCCAGGAAATAGCAAGCGACCGGATCCAGATACCAACCGGAGTCGTCCAATTCGCTGTTCAGAGCGTAATCGTTGTTTCCAAACGTCCGTGTCAACCTCGCTGCTGCCGAGCTCCACGCAAAAGCAGTGCCGATCACCACGCCGTTCAGACCGGCTGCGAACACATTTGTCAGGGTTAATTAACGGGGATTTCGTCCTTAAGTATCTGTATATCTGACGGTGTCAGATAAGAAGCACTCTAAAATATCTATACTCATGTACATGCTATTGGACTATACGAAATTCCAAACGGGGTTGACAGATGTTTAAATTATCCAACCTAGTTTATACAGTATACACCTACCTAAAATCGAATAACAGAACTGCGGAAATCTCTGTGGAACCGCTCTTTCTTCAGTGCACATCATCGGTGCCATTACGAAAAAATATACGAATATCGATACTGAAAAAACAAAACGGTTATTTTCACTATAAAAATAGTACAATTAACTGTATTATACAATTACTATAGGGATAGCTATAATGTTAGTCAGATATACTAAAAATATATAGTTATGATTTTATAGTAAGCCAGACAAAAATTATAGTGTTTTGTACCAAACATGTTTAGTACTCTTTACTATACAATTTAATTATTTGAACAATATTTATGGTAATTTGAATATAATTTTATAGTACTCTTTACTTTTAAATTTATTTATTTGACAATGTTTATAGTAATTTGAACATATCTTAATAGTAATCTGTACTTTTAAATTTAGTAATTTGACAATTTTTATAGTAATTCAAATATAATTGTATACAGGGGCGGACTGGCCCGGGCGGAGAGGCGGAAAAGTCCGCCCGGGCCGCCGGCGCGCACGGGCCGATAGGAAAATAGGATTATTAATAATTTGTACTGCAATAATATGATGGAATAATTGTCGAAGACTTCACAGCTGTTGTATACAAAATAAATAATAATACAAGAGTACATGACAGAATTGGTACAGAGTTGGTAACGTAAAATGTATATCGAAACAATAATAGTGAACAATATCCCCGATAAGAGAAACGTTAAAACTATTTTAACCAATTACCGAAATTGTACGTAAACGTAGATTAATAGTCGTGAAATTTATCGGCACACCCAGATGGGCCTCGCGGAACACCGGTTTGGAAACCGAGTTATTGAAAGAAGCACAGAGTAAAATTAAGGAATTAGAGGATAAATGTAATAAATTTAAAAATATTAACAGTTACCAACAACAGCAAATAATTAACTTTAAAAAAGATAAAAATATGGAAGAACAGCTTTTTAACATAAAATTTCAACAAAAACTTTCTGGGATCTTTACATCAACTCAAATAAATTTGATTTTAAATAAAAAAAAAGCATATAAATGGTCTGATGAAGATTTATCATCTGCAATTAGCTTAAGAAGCATATCCCCTAAAGGGTATAGATATTTAAGGGAAAAAAAGAAATATCCTTTACCAGGTATCTATGTTTAAATTAACTTAAATAAATATACAAACATACTTTACAATTTCAATTATTATTTAATATTGTTCTCAGCTTTATCGACATTGAGATCATGGGCTTGTAAATTTTCAGTAGACCAAGGTATATTGCACCAAGTTTTGTCACTGTTAAAAGCTAAAAGTTAGTATATAGTATACAAGTATACAATTAAAATTAATAACTTAAAAACATATTTTATAATGTGTTATAGGAGAGTCTATGTCTCGTAATGACAAAATAACTGTGATCTCTTTTGATGAGACGTATATATCACGCAAAATATGTTATGATAAAGGCAAAGATCAGATTATTGGACCGTATAAATGTGTACAAGTAGTGATGGCAAGAGGTTAGTCAGCAGTTCAGCAAAAATGTTAATATTAATTTTTAATATGGTATGTGACACATATTTCTCTCATGTTTTATAGGACTTTTAAGTAACTGGAAGCAACCATTGTTTTATGACTTTGACACACCTATGACTACTGAGATACTCTTTAAAATTATTGCTTGTATTCATGAAGTGGGATTTGAAGTAGTTGCTCTTGTCAGCGACATGGGTCCAACTAATATTGGCTTATGGAAGTCATTAAACATAACACCATCATCACCTTCATTCATAAATCCAGTTACACTTAAAAACATACATGTCTTTGCTGATGTCCCTCACCTATTAAAATTGATTAGAAATCATTTTATTGATAGAGGATTTATATTTTCAAATAATACATATTATATTGGAAGGCAAATTATTGAAGAATATTTAGGTACAACAAAAAACTCAGATTTTAAATTGCCATATAAAATTTCTATCATGGTTTTGCGGTCCAACATAGATAAGAAATTGAGGCGATTTGTTTACATTTTTTGTTGACAGTCGATACTCTATATAGATATACTTTATTTGGCCTCAATTATTCCCCTGGAAGACCGCTGATAAGACCATTATGTCCTATCCATTATGCGAAATTTTAAAACATGTCACGGCGCATTTAACCATCCATCTTCCCCCCGCCTACATAACACTGATATCAATTATGACCACAGCTGCTGCTGTTTAATCACTGATAACGGATAACGGATGGTATTATTGAAATGGTATTATAATTAATTAATATAAATTATAACATGTACTTATTTATAAAATATTCTAAAAAATTTGCATACAATCCTTTAAAGGAATGTACCATTTATACAGTTTACTACCTTTAACTATAGTTAAATATGGTTTTTACATGTGTGTATTAATAATTTTAATAATAATTAAAATATTGCATATTTTTTAAAATCCTATACTTTTTTTTATTTCAATTAGAAACTAGAAAGTATCTGATATTCTGATGAACTGTTTTCATTAAATGATGTCATAAAAACAAGGCTAAAGCATTTTTGCCTGATGGATGGGCCATATATTGCTGTTTAAATTTAATTTAATTTTATAAACCAAATATTTAAAATGAAATATTACAAAATATACTTAATAATGACAGTATCCTCTTGACCCAAATCAAATAAGCTATACAATTTTTTGAAAATAAAAGTTAAAACCATTTGCTTTTATACCTATTTTTATAATTATTTTTTTATACCTACAGATATGACAAATGAAGAAATTGTTAATGGAGCCAATCAATGGAATGCATTTAACGTGGAAGCTTTAAATAAAAATTCTCATTCTGTGAATATTAAGAGTCGGATGAATGCGCTTAATAATTTAAAGTTACACAACATTTCGACCAATCATAGTTCTCAACCATCAAATGTCAACTACCAAATCACAAATAATATTCCTGGCCAATCATCACCCGTTAAAAGTTTTTTCAAACCAAAAACTCCTATAGCTCATAAATTATTCAAAAGTGTTCCTACCGTTTCTAGTAGTTTTCCAGAAGAACCGCCGACCAAACGGACGAGAAACGAATTTAAACCTGAAGATCAATATTCAAACAATGAAATCTCTATTATTCAAAATATTTTTGAAGGAATTGATGAAGATGAAATGTTTAATGATTTTTGTTGTTAAAGTCTATCTTGAGCTTCAAAGTTATTTTATTTCAAAGGTGCTTTTTAATTTAATTCGATTGTAGTTTGTAAAAGTATTTTTTTGTGTTTTGTAATTAAATCTTATTGTTAGTGATAACAGTCTATTTCCACTGTTGATTTCATATTATATTGTAGGCTACATTATTCTTCATGTCTACAGTCTACATCTTTGATGAATGATTTTTCTACTTTATAATAAGTACATATTATATGTTTAATTCATATAATGAAAAAAAATTTGACTAGTCAAGTACAGAGTTACTTTTCAAAAAAAAAAAAAAAGTACTTAACCTAACTTTAACTTTTTACTTTGTTAATATCCAGCTTTGAAATGCAGTACCCTCGGTCTCAAATATATATGATATTATACCTACCCAACTAATGTGTAGGAAACTCATAATGATATAAGAATTGTGTAAATTCTAATATATAAAATTCGTTGTTGTCGTCTGTTTTCTTATCTCATTTCCAATTTCGGAACGATTAAGACTTAAGACTTCAATAATTGTCTCGACGATATTATTTTGTTCTCTGCAGTGTGGGATTTACGAGTGGACGCAAACCACCATTTACTGGAAATTTTAAAACATCTCGTGCCGGAGTATAAAAAATTAAATGAGAAATCTTAAACCACGCCGCGTGTACAGTCAAAAACTCAAAACTTAACTATATATTATGGTATCATAATAATGGTATTAACTGTTTATAAATTATAATTTATAATACATATTATATCTATACACGAGCAATTGCAATAAGATAAAAATAAGCAGGTGCATGCGATGTAGCCATTTTGGTATTGCTGGACATTCGTGGACCATACGATATACGGATAATTATTATCACGTTATTAAGCACTTGAAATACATTATATTATAATAATTATTATAATTAATTACGATATTACTGTACATATTGCGGTATTTAACGAGTGTGATGATTATTATCATTATTTCGAGTTCGGGGATTGCTGCGTATATTATTATAAGAGTATAATATTAATATATTTTGTTCCATATAATATAATATTATAATATTCGTATTGTTAGGTGTATCGTATTTAATATTTATTATTTTTCTTTCGTGCCTGGTCAATTCGATGGTATAGGTACCTATATATATAATAATACTATATAACGTTCAATATATACCATGTTTCTCCGCACACATAATTTATAGGTTTATACACATGTAGGCACCAAACGAATGTATAATAATATAAGGTGTTATTTAGAGCAACACCGCCAATGATCGGGCGTACGTTTTGTCCGGCGGCGGTAAAGCGGAAATGGAATTTCGGCTACCGATACGATTCACACACACATACACACACACACACACACACACACACACACACACACACACACGTATAATTTATATACTTTTGGTATAAATAAAAAAGCCAATTATCGCGGTAATGTGCCTTCATTTGGTCGTTTTGAAATTGGAACGTCGTCGCAGTGTATATTACCTATATAGGTTCTGGTTATTTGATTAACTATATGATATTATGTTGTATCGGTGCCTAATATTCACTCGTCACAGATTTCTACGCAACGCTACATGGTATATATAATTATAAGTAAATGATACATTATCACACTTACCAAGCGAAACATCTGCCCCGGCTCAACTGCATAGTCTATAAATATGTAAAAAATAATTAGTCGAGATAAATCAACGCGGTATGATTTGTAAAAAAAAAAAACATATGAATCTATTATAATTGATTCACAACAATTCCATTGGATATCATGATATAACGCAACATTATCGTTGGGTTGAGATTTGCTGCAATGAATATTTCAAAAACCCAGCATTCAAATCGAGGATTCGTTTGAAGTTAAAATCACGAAAACCTACAAATTATTATTTTTTTTTGTTTTGGGGCTGAGGCTTCAACAACTGAGATCATTAGCCTGTGGAACTGTGGGAGAGGGTACTGTAGGTTTTGAACACGTGTGTGTTTGTTTTGGAAGAATTTTTAAGTGGGCACCCGTGTGGGGGACGGGGGACGGCTGCCTCTCTCTCCGGACACCTTAACTGCCCGAAAAAATGCCACCCGTGGCCGAGTTCCAACTTAGGACTAGCCTTAGTCCGCTCGGCCACTCCGTCCCCTTCGAATTATTTTTAAATTCATAAAATAACCATAAAACACGTAGATTAAACTAATTTGTTTCAAAATAATGTGTATGCCTATTGTTTTATTATTTATTTTTTTTGCTTCCAAATCATTACACATAGATTTAAGTTTATTAATGACTTGTTTTCGTTAACCCAAAGTATGTAATATGAAATCCGTCAAAATCTTTAAGTGTATTATTGTCTTAATCAGTTCTAATTATTTTTTTCATCTCACAGGGAAAATGTCCGTATTCCGAAGAGAATATATAAATTACCATTTGATTTTTCCTACTTGTATTTTTTATTTTATTTTTTAACTAGTAGGTACTTGTTGATTTTATGCAGTCAAAAACGCCTTTCAACAATTTTGTGAGTTAGTCGTAACTCATAACTTTACGCAATATGTTTATACTAATAATATAAAATGAGGAATTATGTTTAGGAGAACATTTTTTTCTGTGAACCAGGCAAAATAAATAAATAAAATAAACCTCGGAAAATACAAAGAATGTAGGTATAATTAATATTATAGGGTTTTTGGGCTGGGTACCGATATTTTATTTTTCTAACCAAATAGACGTTTTCGTTGTCATGGTTGCTTATTAACAAAAACATATCTATATATTATGATTTAAAGATTTCTCTTGTAGAGGAAAAATATAGAGTAGCGTGGTATGGTTTTTCTCTTTACATTTTTATATTTATTATTAGGTACTTTAAGATGGTCACAGAAACACTTAAAATACGAGTAGGAAGCGTGCACCCTCAAAACGTTTAAAAATACAGAATAATTTAAAAATCACTTGTATTTCCTAAGGTATTACTTGGTACAAGACAAAAAAAAAATCATCGCTTAAATGTCATCAATTTCTTTATGCGTTCCTACAGTTTGGTGATTGGAACTACAACGGTGCAGGATTGTGGATACGTAGGTATCTTTTAAAAGATTTTAACTGTATAAGTTTGTCTCTTAATATCTCTGGATATATCTATGAGCACGTATTATATATTATATAAATGCGCATATTATTTTGGTGCGCACATCAAATATTGAAAAAAAAATAAACAATAATAGGTACACTGTACACTAGTCACTATTTGTATACAAAATACTGCCTATACACTCGACACGTCTTATTAGTTATTCCTTTTAACGGGGCGTCTGAAAACCTGTACCTATATGCACCTAAATCTATATACTTTGGCGTTTTATCTGTTTAAAAAAGGATAACTGCCAATAAATCGTACGCGACAAGACATATAACACGTACCATATACCATATATACGTACCAGGTACCAACTTAAATATATTATATTTATATACATATATATGTATACATTTTATATATTATATATCAGTGTATACTGTATATATATACAGACACGATTAGTTCATACATGTAGGTACGTCGGACCGTGTTCATTTCGAAACTCCAAAGACATACCTACTCCATTTTATAGTATAAAAGACACATTATAACACCGAACCGTATCCCGCCGATTCTTGATTTATATAAATGTGAGTATGTGCCATTATAGATAATTATGATAAAGGTGTATGAAATAGCTATAATAAAAGAAATAAATAATATATTATTATATACCGGCACACATCAAAATGCACAATATAATATTATATCTCCGATGGTTTCCTGCTTACCTACCTAAGACTGTGATGAACCAATCGCGTGGTCGTTGAGAATGGATCGTAGGTACCTATGTATAGACGGCATTAGACGCAGTTTTATAATAATACTTGTCAAATTCAATATCATTATTTAATATTTATTATATTGTGTACTTACCTACCTACAACGTAGTGTCAAGAAATGAGATAATATTATTTTTTCAGTCTATTTATGACCTAAAAATATACAATTTTGAGTATAAATACGGACAAGATCAGTCATATAACTGGTTACTATATTATGTTATATTATAATAATATGAATATAATATGACGGTGTACTTGAATTATACGAACAATTTTAGTATGTATTCTATCAATGCACGTTTTACTTTACATCTAGCATTTTTATTTTTATTTGGGGGGGAGGGATAATTTAATATTTTAGTGAACTCGATGACCACTGCATTACTTAGTCAGATACAACAAATCGAAATTCCAAATTAAAATAACCTGGGTATTACGCCGTGATCGCACTATGAGAAAATGTTGAATGGAAGTATCAGTATAATAAATTATAATATTATATATACCTACGACGATACATTACTCCGAAACGGACGGCATGGAGGTTAAGTGGAAATTATTAATTAAATGCAATATCGTAAATTTGATCGTATGTCTTCTGAAATTAGAGTATTATGTTGTTAAGTACCTACTCAAAATATACAACATAATATTATTCTATGCAGCAGTATTTAATACTATAGGCGAAATGTATTAACAATGCCTATTTAGTACATAACATTTAAAAAGTATCAGAAGTAATGAAATTGCTTTTTCATTATTTCTACAACAAAAATAAGTAACAATAAAACCAATTTTTATAATATTATGCAGGTATTAGGTTCCTATTTTTTTTTACTTTCCACTAAATAAATTTAAAACTAATTTGGACTAGAATAAAATTCTGATATTTAAAATAGCTACGTGAAGTTAGCATTCATTATACTGTTGTAACACAATCTTAAAAGAAACAATTTGGTCCTTGACTCGATAGACACTTGTCGAACATTTGTCTTTGTTGGCCAGCTGTTGAACTTCACCGGAAACTTGTTCGAGCTTGTTTTTTATGATACTACCTACGTGCACTAGTACCTGCAGCTCGGTACTTTACTTGTTGAATGGTTTTTTAAGGCTGTAAGTAAATATTTTAATGCGATTCGTG